GATACTTAAGAGAGAGAGCTTAATAAATGAATATGTACTTAAAAAAAAGTTATGGAAGTTTTTATTGCTATTTATATCTTTTATTTTATAAATTCTTTAAGTTGAAATTATAATTATTTATTTTAATTAATTTAAGAATTTTTTAATCAATAATTTATTAATTTTGATAATTTTGATAGTTTTTTAAAGATTTTTAGACATAGTAATACATGATCTTACAAGATTCAATTATACAAGAATACAATTATTCATTCTTCTTGTTCAACAAATTGTTTGTAAAATAATCAGTTATTACAAAGACACATTAAATTCATTATAAATTAGCTATTTAAATAAATAATTATTTAAATAATTAACATAAAATGGAAGAGGAAGAATCATTGGATTTTCAAATCGCATTTGATATACCAAATGCGGATGCAGGAAAAATAGAACTCACGACGAAAAAAATTACGCATACAATGTAAAAAAATGTTATGCAACGTCGATAATATCTCGGTAAAATATATAAAGAAAAATAGTTGAATTTTGAAGAAGTAGTAAGACAAATTCAAAAAGAATTGAAGGAATGAAACAAGGATTTCGAAATTTTTTTATTAAAATTTCATCTGATGCTTATGTAAACAATGTATGCAAATAAAATTACATCTTCATAAATCTATTTCTTGCGTAGAGTTGCGATAATAAGATATTATGAAATATAAATGTTGATCATAAAATATAATATTCATAACATTGCAATAGCTACCGTAAGCACTAGAATAACTGTCGTATGACTAAAATTAAATGAACGATATTTTATAAAAATAATCATTTCTTTATTTGTAACTTGTTTTTAATTGTCCACGGTACCGCATACATTCTTTGATATATCATCAAAAATATTTGAATATTGTTTAATAAATCCAGTATTATTATTAAAATTATGATTATGCTTATGATTATTAATAAAAGAAAAGAGAGGCCAATGAACAAACGAAAATGAAATGACGTGACAAAGACAAATTCGAGTAAACAATATTTATTGTAAAAACAATAATTAGCAGTGTCACCTTCAATCACCGAGCCTTCTTCAGCAATTCTTCAGCAAAAATGATAAAAAACGAGGGAATTTAATGCATAAAACTTTGCGTCTGACTGTTAACTCTTAA